CAAAAGGTTTTACTGATTCATATAATCCTGATTTTGTTTTTCATCTTAAAAAGGCTCTTAAAGCAAGCACCTAGAGCATGGTATGAGAAGTTGACTTCTTATCTATTGCACAAAGGCTTCAGAAGAGGAGGAACGGATAAAACATTGTTTATTTTCAGGAAAGGAAAAGATTTTTTTGTTGCTCAAATCTATGTGGATGATATTGTTTTTGGTGCTACATGTGATAACTTTGTTCATAATTTTTCTAAAGATATGAGTAAAACTTTTGAAATGAGCATAGTTGGTGAACTGACTTTCTTTCTAGGTTTCCAAGTGAAATAATTTGATGATGGGATTTTCATATCTCAATCAAAATATGCAAATGAGCTAGTTAAGAAGTTTGGTATGAAAGATTCAAAGTATATTAGAACTCCTATGAGTACTTCATCCAAATTGGAAAGAGACCCTGATCCTAACAAGGTTGAAAGATTCTTGTATAGGAGTATGATTGGTAGCTTGTTGTATTTGGCAGCAACTAGGCCAGATATTTCATTTAGTATAGGTGTTTGTGTTAGGTATCAAGCTGATCCTAGAGAACAACACATTCTTGCAGTCAAGTGCATTATTCGTTATGTCAATAGTACATTGAATTATGGATTGCGTTATTCTTCTGAGTCTAACTCTAAGATTGCATGCTATACTGATGCTGATTGGGCTGGTAACAAGAATGATAGAAAGAGTACTTCATGTGTTTGTTTCTATGTTGGTACTAACTTTGTTTCATGGTACAGTAAGAAGTAAAATTGCATATCTTTATCATTATGTGAACCTGAATACATTGCTGATGGAACTTGTTGCACATAATTGCTTTGGATGAAACAGATGCTTCTGGATTATGTAGTTGATCAAGGTACTATTGCTATTTTTTGTGATAATACTAGTACAATTAATATCTCAAAGAATCCAGTTTTGCATTTTAGGACTAAGCACATTGACATTCGACATCACTTTCTTAGGGAACTTGTTGAACAAAATGTCGTGTCTTTGGAAAAAGTGCATACTGATCAGAATTTGGCTGATATTCTCACTAAACCATTAGATGCTCCTAAGTTTTCTGATTTTATGAAATCTATTGGTGTCTGTTATCTTGATTATAAGCATTGCAAAGACATAATCTAGAAAGGATTTTCATGCATATCTTGAGAGTCTAGATTATGTTTTTGGGAAGTTAAGCAAACCATATTGATTGAGTATATTGAACACAAGGAGTTTAATGGCAAATGGATTATCTATGGAAAGCATACAATGGCTATGAATTAATGAAATTGGTTTTGCTTACTTATTTCGTATAATAAATGAATCATTGATAGTACATTTACTTGAGATATTATTGTTTTGGTCAAAGATAATGTTAACATGATTGATCATTGTCTTGGGATTTAAACTTGATTTATGTATTTTAGACCAAAAGAGTGAAAAGAAAAGAAAATTGAAAAACAACTTGGAATGAAAAAGTTTTTGAAAAAGAAAGAAAAATATTTGCTGTTTTGAAAAAAAAAAAGAAAAGTGAGATGGAAAAGGCTACCTTTGGGATTTGTCTGAAAGCTACCTTAATTCTAAACAAATGGGAATAAGGGAAAGAGCTGGAAGTACATAAGAGTGAAAGCCGCCAATGTGCAAAAAGAAAAATGGAGCACAAAGAGAAAGAGAAAAAAATGTCTTTTGCACATGTTGATTGTTTAATTTCTAAAGATATGTAATATCATTGATTTATTATCTAAAATCTGAACAATTGATAGATCATATGTTTTTGGAACTTGATGGTGATTTTACAACACTTACTAAGTTTATGGAACTAAAAAGAATTGATCTTGGTTATTTCTGTTGATACATATAATCTTGTGGAGTCTACATTCTCATTGGTTTCAATTTAAAAGTTTTATATGGTTGGTTACTTTCTACTTTCAGGATATGTCTTCTTTGAGACCTTTGTTAATATGTGACAAAAAGGGGGAGAGGTTGAGAGACTTATTATTCAGGGGGAGAAAAACTTTTTACATTAAGGGGGAGAACCATTGTTCATTGCATTGACATTCATGCATTATTAGATTTGTTATTTTATGCTTGTGTTTATTTTCTTGATTAACCTTTACAGGTAGTTGTGTTTGAGTTAATGTGCAGATTACAGGTTGCTACAAGTGTTGACGCTTCATGAGGTTCAAGAAAATTTTCGCGGTTTATTTCCTTTAACAATAATTGTAATTTATTTTCCTGCTTGGGTAGATTGCTGAATTGTTTTTAGGGTTTTGTCATGAAATTGCCAAAGGGGGAGATTGTGAAATATATATTTTATAATTGGCTAATTTCATTGACAAAACAAGTCCGATCGAGTTGTAGTTTTTCGATTCAAATTTTCAAAGATTGAAAATCGAATGCGGATTTGAAGAAGTTCAAGTGTTCATGATATACTATACTCTGAGATGATGAAAACAATGCTCTAAGAAGGTTAGAGAGGTAGTAAGAACATTTAGGAAGGGTTTTGAAAGGTTCGGAACAAGTTTTTACCTTCTGCCTATCTTGAACTGGTTCAAGTTTTATCGAACAGGTTTAACATCAATAGAACTGGAAAAATTTCAAAACTGGCCATCTTGAACCGGTTCGAGGGGGTTGAACCGGTTCAAGAATCCGTGGGATTCATTACGGCCTTCTTGAACCGGTTCAGCCCCTCTGAACCGGTTCAAGGTCTCCTGGTTGTATTATGATTTTAGTTTCCTTCTTCTGAAAGTTTCATTTTTGATCCCAACTTCTTTCCAAAGTCCTATGCACGAAATTTTGCATATTTTCAGAGAGATTAGGACTTTATAAACTCTATATAAACTATGTCATATACATTGGTTGATGGACGGCTTTAGGGAAAATTAATTCTATATTTTGAGAAAGCCTTTTAGAGAGAGAAAATTCAGAAAATCAAATTTGATTATTCTGAATTTATTTTTGAGAGCACACATATATATTCATGAGTGATTTAGTTGTGTTGTTTACTATCTCATTGGAATTGGAGCTATATTGAAGATTCAGATATTCCAGATAAAAAACAGGATTTAATTCTTTCATAATCGAGTTCAGATTTTGAAGAACAGAAGTAAAAACGATCACATTTTAAAAGTGTTGGAGCATTCGAGGAGTGTTGTCTGATCTACCTGCTACTCTTTTACAAATATCAAGCATAAGCCTGAGGTCAAGTTGTTGTTGGACGAGGAGTTGCAAAGTCAGATTATTGTCAGCAGTTGGTGTTTGGTAGAACGATAAGGTGTGAGCCAGAGTCAAAGTTCTGTGTACTTTGTTTCAAACATAATGGATTGGTTTACTTTGGACTGAATAGTTCACGAGGTTTTCACCATGCAAACAGTTGACGTATTTTATCAATTAGGATTTCCTCGCTAAAAATCCTGATGCAATCGTTCTAAACTTTTACTTGCTTTACTTTATATATATTTGTGATTGTGGATGTTTAAATTGATCATATAAATTAATCAATCATAAATTGAACAAGTTGACCTAATAATTAGATCTAAATTGTTAAAAAGGTTAATCACAATTAAAATCAACTAACTATTTTTGCACTCTACATTACTCTTCTTTCGCAGAGTGCACTGCCACAACTTATGCCATCCAACCATGGAAATTAGTCAAAACAAAGAGCCTACAAGTTACTGCAATGCATTGTACAGTCACAGTCACCAGACATTCAAAATCTTCACCGTCTAATGGTTTTCTTGATAAAAAAATGTGCCAGTGGTGACTGAACCGTGCCATGTGGTCCAACCAGTCGTGGGCGTCACATGCATTGCCCATACGTGACATTTAATTTCACACACTACCTAATAGCCTCTGTCATATCACATGATAATATATTTGGTCCTATGAAAAATAACCAAACTAGATGCACCTTTTATTTCTGCTGCTCCACTCAGATGCAATACATGTGCCATGAATTATTACGTATATTATACATATATAGTACACATCTTTTAGTTATGGCCTAACCTGTGACCATTACTCTGCCAGACATTGTTACACTCAGATATTCATATGCTTCCCTATGAAAGCTTCATAACACTCTCCTGAAGAACACATGTTCCTTTCGCTCTTTGAATGCAGTCCCCATCCTTGGCCTAAGTATTAAAAGCAGGTGACAATTCCAATGAAGGCACTGTCAGATATACATGCAGGTCGGGACTGGGAAAACTTCCCAATCAACAATAGCACATTGCGGGTCAAATTAACCGTGCTCGATTATCTGGGATAAGATGGAAGGTTTTTAATCTATACCTTCATAGCTCTGACCTAGAAATCCAACCTATCGAAACTATAGAATATTTTTGTTTGACTCGTATGAAGACATGGAGAATATTCTCCAGAGAGTTCATACGTTCGAGGGCAGACCATTCATTCTCAAGAAATGGAATCGGAATTTAAATATCCTTTTGATTTGATCTCCTGAACTAGCAATTTATTCTCCAAATATTTGTATGATACGGAATTAATAAAGTTTAATACTTAACAAGCTTATAACCAACATTCTGAATTAGTCACCATTTAATGTACTATGCAAGATCCTGATAACGATGAAAGAAAGAAAGATGTTCTGTATCTATGCTAGTAGACATTGTTATTATCTCTCTGGATATCTATATATGTTTAAGAACCTAAGCATCTTTATATTATTTTTCTGGCCAAAAAGAATTAGAGTTTTATAGTTGGACTCAAAATAGGAAATCATAATTCACCAGGATTGGTCCATCCTGCTATAGTTCAATTGATCAAACTGAGACCAGTGAAAATTGATTGATTCCTTGATCGAACTTCACTATCGACTTAAAAACTTAATTGTTCAGCTTAAACTGTTCATAGACATTTCAAAATATATACCTCATCCTAGTATTTTGAATGAAATCAATGCATAACATAAAACAGTAGCAGGTGACTTGGCAGTTCAAGACATAAATTCACCTTGATCCTTAAACTTCAAATACTGTCTTCATAGTCCATGGATCAAAGGTACACTAACTAACTAATTAAACTAACATTCAAAAATACGCTCAACTAAAATGAGCAATACAGACACCTGATTTTGTTGAAAAGTTTGCAAATACTAAGTCCTAATAACCCAACACCTTGGCCTCCGAATTTAACTATAATAGCCAATATTTATTTAAACCTCAACTCCATTTGGAATCCATCCATCCATAAGAGTCCATCGCATCTATCATTTTTCTGCAGTAGGAAACAAAAAGTAAAAATTTTAATTTTAATATATATATATTTTTTCAGAATTGAATTTGAGTTCCTAATGAGAAAATTAATCAGTTCAATAAATGTTCTATTCTCCTAGTTACATAAATACATCCAACAGACCACTCAAACTTCTGAAAGGGGGATAATCATCAACCAAAGAAAAACAAGGAAAAAAATCAACATCAAGAGGCTAAATTTTATAGAATTGTTCTATATCCCAGAGTATAAAAACGATGTCAAAGTAAGAAATTTTTACAGAGCAATATACACGATCTGTAATATCACTTGTTGATCAACAGCATTATTCTGGTCAGAGTTGCCATTCAAGTCCCACAAAATTTAAGTTTGGCACATTATTGACTAAAGAATAGATGGAGGAGATATATTCAAAACTTATTTGTATTTTTATTTTTTGATTCTATCATCAGAATTCAGATAATACAAAGAATGTCTCAATCTACATGTGTTTGATTACTTCAGTCACTTGACTTGTAGCAGTTAATTTATAGGAAAGATAAAATGAAGTAATTCTCTAAAATACACTGATACATATAGCAATAGGGCCTTTTTTCTTCTTACCCTTTCCTCCTTTTAGGACTCAGTATAAATTCATCATCATCATCACTGTCATTAATGATTCTTTTCTTGGCTTTCACTTCACCATTCTTTGACATTTGCTGTGGCTTTTTTGAACTCTCAGGTTTATTTCTTGGTGGTTGCGGCGGCGGGAGAGATTTAATAGGAGTTCCCATCCGAAGTTGTTTTTGCTTCTTTTGCTTCTTTTCATATGCTTTTTTTGCTCTTTCAGGTGATAACAAACCATGTTCCATCAACCTGCATATTTGGATCATTATCTCTGTCATTAATAACTAGAAACCCGTTAAGCTAGAATTTACAACCACTCAGGAATGTCAAGATCAACAATGATTATCACAAAGTTTAGCATAACAATTCACTTCCGAGGCTTCAATCCCATGTTCAAAAATAGGGGAATTTTCCAAATAAGGTGTTCAAGGTTTCATCACTTAGTAGGAAATCATTTGTATTTTTCTGTTCTAGCCAATTAAGTTTTGGACCCTCCAGTCAATGAATTTGTGAGGGCAGTGAGTGGAGTGCATGTCCACATTATCTCCCATCCCAATACGACAGTTGGTCATACAAATCCAGAAAAGAAGAAGATGCTCATCAGATGACACTGTATAAAGAAGCATTAAATAAGAAAGAATTAAGAGACATTAGACCAACTAAGATCAAACTTCCAAAGCCGATTCAGAGATGCTCTAACAAACTCCAATTATTATAATACAGACATCACATGAATGAAATTTTGTAGATTGCATGGTCAATAATATTCCAAAGTGGACGAATATGTCTTCAAGCGTCTTTCCCGAAAACAGGCTAGCTATGCAAGTCCTATTTGACTTGTTTTAAGCAAATAGTCCATTAGCATAACAAAACAATATTTACAATAAGATGCCTCTTTCAAAATAATTATTGATCATTTCACATATGGTGTTTGATTCACTTTCAGTAAAACAGATGGGGATAGCATATGATACTTAAATGGAAGTATAACCACACTCCTAGAAACAAGGTGATTAATCATTTTCTTACGTCTAGGTTTATGCAGTAAGGCTTCAGTATTTATAATAATCAGTAGCAAAGCCGAGAATTCTATTCGGTGGGGGCAACATTGAGCAATGTCAAGAGAATTTCTCTTTTACCAAAATAATAGATATAAAACTTATTTAGGAATAAAGAAATAAATATAAAACATAAATAATGATTGATAATATTTTTATTTGATACATTTATAATTGTTCTCGACCAGTACTTTTCATGTTTTCAAAGCATTCCATGATATTTTGATATATAATATAATCCCAATATATTGTAAGGACTCTTGTAGTTTTTTTTTTCCTAATTGGTACTCACATATGCTTCCACTGAGCCTTGAACCCCTGACCTCCTTTTGGGAAGTAAGGGCCTAATACCGCCAGGCCACTGATGTTAACAAAATCCTTATCCTTTTCTTTTGTAATTTAAATGAAATCCTATTTTACACAAAGAGTAAGAAAGGAAAAAAAGATTATGGATTTTTTTCATACTGGTTTAGGGTCAAAGAAGAAATTTGTAGTCCTCTCTTCTTATTTTTGCCTTGGAGAAAGATTCAGAGGGTTAAAAGGAGATATTGATGGCTGAAGTGGACGAGATGAACTAAATGTGAGTTGTGGGAAAGTGATGTGCAAATAGAGTTTGTGAGAGAAAGATGACAACTAGTCAACTCATAAAAGAAAGTGTTAAGGGTTACGACCAAAGTTTTTCTTTCTCTAATAACCTTTTTTCCCCTTAATTGAAACACATATGCTCACTTTGCCCCTACGAGGACTTAAATTATCGACCTTCTACATTGGAAGTGGTACAAATTCGAACTTAAAACTCGTCAAATGATGGCTGTCTGGTGTGGAACTTAGTGGGCTGATGTGGCGCATTGCCCGCAGTGCAATTTGCACCATGGAGTACTTACAGATCCCTAGTATTGGAGAGGATTTAAATTACATCCCTACGTGCCTCCTCGCTGATTGTAATAAACTAACCAGTCCTATTGCAAGGCTGTTGATGAGTGCACTCGCCATTGTAATTATTCAGAAGAAACAAATGGAACTATGCTATTACCAGTCATCTCACTAAGTGGTCTGGACTGATAAATCATACTATTGGAGTTCATATTCTTTACAGTGGAACATGAACGACTGAAGAAACTTGGGCATTTAGGGATATGAACTACTCTAGTGGTGATGAAGTAGAACATTGTCCATTCTCCTAATAGCACTCACAAAATCACCAATCAAATGAAGAGATTCTGGCCATAAGATAGGCTCAATGCTCTCTAACAGTATTTGGCAGTTTTAACTATTCTAATTACTTAAGCAGCCAAAAATCAATCATAAGAACTAAGGATCGGAAGGTATGGCCTTTTAGCTTCAATGTAGTACTTGAAATGCCTCAAAATCCTCCTAGATTCATTTCACTTGTTCATTCACCACCTAGTTTAAATATTCAACATGTAAAACTAGTCATTGTAGTCTAAGGATGCTCTAATTTGGTATAGAAAAATTGGCTAAATCCCTTCCCGATGATCCTACTTAAAATAACAACTGAGTAGCACATTCACTAATTGCTAATCTAAAATCAATCTTCATGTTTATTCTATGAACAATTAGTTGATGCTACCAGCCATGAGAAAAATTAAATTAAAAAAACATTTTTTTACTTGCACTTCAAACCACATAAGGGCAACTTTTACAGAAACAAAACATTTGCCCCTGTAACATACAGCTGGTGGTAAATTGGAATTATAGCATGAAGAACCAATTCAATTGTCTAGCTCAAATAAGTTTAAATATGGTTAGAGGTTAACTTTTACTACACAAGTAGCATTCATTGATAAACTCATGATGGAGAATCCGATATTCAATCCATCTTGAGTTGTAAAAGGGCTCATCCAGTGCATGAGGAACCTGTCATTGTGGGGGTATGGGGAGGGTCAGATGTATGCAGCCTTACCTCCGCATGGAGAGGTTGTTTCCAATTTCAAACCCGTGACCTCCAGGTCACAATGGAGCAACCTTACTGTTGCACCAAGGTTAGAAAATAAAATAAATAAATAAATGATTTTCAACCTTGGACCATGATAGAAAGGAGAGAGAGAGATTACAAGGCTCCCAGAGCCTGAGCTGCACACCCAAAGAATAAGGAAGACCAATAATAAATAAGAACTTACAAAGACCAAGGATGATACATGCCTCTTTTCATGATCAATACTAACAGAAAGCATGAAAGCAACTGGTTACTTGTATCAAAAGTTCCCTGGCCAATGCTACCAGGATATTTGAAACAGGCTCTAGCTGCATCCAACACTTGATCAACTGTTGAGTCCTAGACACTTGGCATGACATGCCTCATAATATGTTGATGATTATCCAGCTAATATGAGCAGATTATGTTATGTTCTGTATACCTAATCCAAACACTAGGTATCATGATGGACACATTCACCAAAGTGCCTTGCCAATCTATTTGTTAACTACATTTTTCAGCTCTTTCCTTATTGTTCTTCTAACTTCTAAAATAAAAAAAGTAGTTTAATGCAGTTATATGGGTGCAACTCCCAGGTGAACTAAAGTTCAATTGGTGTTAGAAGAGTGAGAAATGAGGACGTATGATAGATCATGTGTTCAAGCGTTTGAAAGGGAATATTTCTGTGTGTGTGCGTGTTGGGGGGGGTGGGGGGGGGAGAATTCCTCCTCATGTCATTACATGTGAAGTCCGACATGTCTGACATGTACCCACCACCGAGTCATTTATTACTGGCTTGACAATACAAAGATGCCAAATGGACTCGATCATCAAAAACATATTCAATTTCATTTTAGAGTCAGAGTTATCAGGAGCATATATGAGGTTCAGTAGTAGGAGGAAGCCAGCTAGCTTAGCTAGTAAGGCATGCTGGTGGTAAACCACATGCTAGTTTTCAAGTCTCTAAGGGAGCTTGAGCATCATCTTCGTCCCTATCCCTGATTTTCTATTATAAAATATAAAAAAAGAAAAAGAAGTTCAAAGTCAAAGAATTGCCGTCCTGTCATAAGGAAAAAAATGGAAAAAGAAATAGCAAAATACATCCTATATTGCCAATTAAAAAAAAAAGAAAAAAGAAAAAATACACCCTATAATCCGACACAAAAGAAACAGATATTGTATGTGTACCTTCGAGCTTCCAGATGATATATGTTGTGTTTGAACAGCATGAAGAGAATTTGCAATTGCTATAATTGCGAAGTCAGATATTGAGTATTTAATATTCTCTAACAAAAAAAATTGCTGGAAGTAGATATAGTTCTTTCCAGAAATTTTTTTTTTTTGTCATTATTGATGGTTGAGGAAGATACAGTATCAACTTGTAAGGAAAGATGAATAAAAGGAAAGAGAACTGATGATGATAATAGATGGAAATACACTAGATAGTTTGCAGAAAATAAGAACAATAAGGAAACAACCACATTCCCATAGTCCTTGTTGAGGTTTTTGAAGATATATCTAATTGCTTCTCATTTCCTTACACGGTCATCAATGTTTTTTGCAGTCTGCCAATATGGACTAATTAACATAATGTCCACATATGTTTGATAATCATTACATAATTTTAGCAAGTACCTGAATGATGTGATGTTATGAATGAGCGAAGTCAAGTAGTATGGTAGACTAAGCTCAAAAATTTAACAAGCTCTATATCAGGATTGATCTTGTCTTATTTGCCTCATAAATGGTCTTTAATGAACTTCTAATCAAGTCGTTTGAGCATGAGTAGCTAAAGGTTTCAGATCCTTAATTGTTCTCATGAGTCTATCAAAGCAAGTTCAAGCTTAACTCAAAAATTAACAGCATTCAGAATTGGGTTGAACTTGATTCATTCATATGAACAATCCCAAAAACAGGATCAGAATGAAGCTAAGGTCAAGTAGCTTGTTTCATCTTGCTGCCCAAAAGGATAGGACCCTTCAAAATAGGCGATGAGCTTTATACAGACCATTTGACAGTCAAGCTTACAACATGCTGGCTGCTGCAGCCAGCAGATGGGTCTTAGGCCCAAAGTTCGAGGACTGTTGGAGTCATTAACTCTAAGACCTACTACATCTCAACCAAAGGACCTAGAGATCTAACTGTGGCAGGACCAGCAAGTCGACCAAGGAAGATATGCAAATTGGCTGACCGTAGTCTATGAAACAGTAGAGAGTACTCCCTCTTAGATAGACTAAAGTTCCAAGCCACTTGTTGGACAGATCAAGGAAGTGCCTTTTGGGCATTTATTTCAGCTTTCAAGAAAAAATCCTCAAGTGACTACGTTAGTGTGGACTGGCTCAATCAAGAAATACCAAACGGAACTTCTAAAATAAGTCATGCGGCACGCTTATGACTTACAAATGATAAGAGTAGTGGAATGACATTAACTGCACTTATCTTAATGTTTAGAAAACAAAAGCTTAATGAGAATCAGAGGATTGCAGTAGCTTATGCATCTTATGGTCCATTCTGCAAAGATAAGTGCTGGAATAAGGAAAGTAGGGAAGGAAAGGCCATGGATGCATGTGGGATTCCAGAGAGTTATCGGAAGTGATTCACAACCTGTTGAGATATGACATTTGGAAAATGAAGGTTGGGAGAAAATTAGGACAGGATACTGAATGGGGACAAACAGCAGAACAAGAAAGTTCTGGAAAGAATCTGCTGAATGCCTTTCGAGTGTAAACTGCTTGGCCCCTTTTGTTGATGGTGCACCAGTTTTTATAGGAGAATCAACATGTGTCAGTTGAAAAATTAGCCAAACATATATGCCCAGCGCGATATGCTTCCCACAGGCCCTGGTTGTAGTGTCGTCTGGGGCTCCATGTGTACCACGTCCATCCACTTGGGCCGTGGGATATGACATAAATGACTTGAACCACACCATGCCTTACACTTAGTTTAATCACCAAGGCACAAGAACCCAAGTCTCCCGTTTGTTATTATCATGCAGCACACCCTAGGTCACATCATAAACACTCTGATCAAAGAGCTGTGTGCACCACAATCTAAACAAGAATTATGGCGTAATATCATGAATGATCTCAAAGTTATTGGCCTTCAACATACATCACAGGCAGGAAACCACAAGAAACTAACACGCAGTGCAATGTAAACACCGGATCATGGCCAGAGCAAGGATTGGAAACCATTGTAATGTGTTAAGGATAGAAATATTAAAGTTACACCTTTTCTAACAGTTTAAGCTTTTAGAGTAAATGGTTATTAAAATGGTATCAAAGCCAAAAGTCTCAAATTAAAACTTCACTATCACCCTAATAATTAAAATTGAAAACTCATGCTGGACCAAAAAAGAAGACCACACATGAGGGAAGTGTTAGAGCATATAAATATTAAAGTTAGACCCTCTCTAACAGCATTAAAGAACAGCTTGTATTAGTTCAATTTCTTATTATAGACCATAGAACTTGACTTGTTAAGGCCTCTTGTACATACCTATTGTAGTCAAATCTCGACATTGGCCTTTTATTTTCCTTTCTGAGACAGGTTTTTCCATGTAAAGTGATCGTTTTGAGTCTACTTGACTATTACTCCTTATCCATTTTATGTAGCCATGTGTTATTCTAGTGGTTAGGAAGCTTGCTTGTCCACGTTAATCAGCAACTTGTATAGAGAAGAAAGACATTGTATCCTAGGGCCAGGAGAACATTGTCATTTAACTTCTTAAACATGAAAGGGACAAGCTCTCCATGAAATGTTAATTGACTTTTTCCTCCAACTTCATCCCACATCAACCCCTTGTTGTGCGCCAACCCCCGCCCCAAACGTTGGTTGACTTTTTTTTCCGTTCTACATGTAATGAGCAGTTATTGGAAATTCAGAATATAGATTTTGAAAGTGTAAATAAACGTAGAGCATATGTTCGGTCATTGTTCAATTCCAAAAGAATTAAATTTCGTGCAACCACTGTTAAGTAAGTTTGGGCACCCGAAAAAGAGCTTAGCAGCAATAAGCCTAGCCGTTGGACCACCCAACCTTGAACAATAACCTAATCTACTAGGAAGGTCCATTCCACGAGCCTAGGCATCATATTGACAACACTTAACCTAAGAGCAAAGAACTCCTTCAGAATGGTAATTTAACTCTTAATCTTTCAGTTTGGGAAATTGCATTAGTATTGGTGGAAAATATCACACACAACATTATAAATGACATAAAACATTGAAACAGAACTAAACCATAAAACTAGTTAACTCTAACAGAGTTGATTCATCAAGCAATACTAGAAAATACATTCAAACCTCACAGATGAAAAGTTTAAGAAAATTAACTTTAGAAAAAACTGTGTGATTAAATTAAACAAAGAAAGAAGTGCCAAGAATTTAATAAAGAAAACTCACCAAAATTCTGCCATTTCACTCGAAGGTATCTGTTTCGACAACGACTCGTAAAATATCCTTAGTGGTTCCCTCTGTTTAAAAAAAAAAACAGCAGCAACATGAAGGATGGAGAATAAGGTTCAATTACTATAAAATTTCTGAAACAGAATAAGCTTAGAGCATGTGATAGATCCAACCTCTTCGGGAACATCATACTTCTGGCCTGCCAATGTGTAAACTTTCTTCTCTCTTGTTTTAGTAGTAGTTTTAGTCACTGTGGTTTTCGATGAACTTGATATTGATGCTGATGTTGATTTTGCTTTTACCTTCACTTGAACAATACCAATCCAAACTCATCAAAACCCAGTTCATAATATATTACACACACACACACCAGATACCCAATTTCAAAGCACCAAAAATCAGAAAAGTGGTATCCCCAAAATCACCCAATTCATCACAAATTATTGTTATTAATTCAGAATCTCAAGGACCCAAAACACCCAATTCATCAATAATAATCAAATCAATTCAAAAACCCAACACAATTTGGTGATTTGAGAAAGTACAGATTACCAAAAGTAGAGACTTAAAAAGTGATGATTTTTCTAATGGGTTACCTCAGTTTTTGTGACTACAGAGGTAGATTTGCGGTATGAATCAAGGGGCTGTTTGGTTGAGCTGACAACAACTTTCTTCTTGTGGAGTGATGAATCAGTCTTACCCCTTGATGAAGAAGCATCTTGACTGCTGGGCTTGGCCTTCACCACAGTAGTTTTGGTCTCTCCAGCCATGGCTAGTACCACCTAATGTTGATTGATCAATCTGTTACGGAGTATTTATCTTCTTACACCTCTCATTCAAGACCCGCACCTCTCATTCTCATCTGCTTCTGTATGAATTATATATATATATATATATATAACAAGTGGTAAAATAGGGAAAACTAACAGGTAAAGGCTTTGCTCTCCCATTTGAGGAGAGTTGTTGCCACTTGCCAGTTAAAGTTATTTAACTGCTTTTTTGGGTTGCCAAAAACGTTAGGTCATGGGTTTTATATATGTATATGTCTATATAGGGTACTACAAGGTGTTTGAGATTTTGACGGTAATAGATGCGGTCAATGTTGTGATAAAGCAAAGGCCGTTCTGATCGACGGTAAGCACAGAGTACTGGAGTCTCTCTTATCGTGAAACTTTCACAGGGGAAATTTTCTTTCACTTACTTTCATACAAAACACGTGTCAGACTTGATTTAAAACGCGTGAGATTGCAAAATTTGATAATAAAAGTTGATGAATGGATTTAACCATTTTTTTTTCTTTTATAAAAATTATAAAATAAAATAAAGTATTTAATTTCTATTTAATTTCTTATTAGTATGGTCCATGTCTCACTTGCACCAATAATATGGAAGTGAATCTCAGACTTCGTAGTCCTACTTTTCAAATTGACGTGTACACACGATTTTATTTCGGACAGATATGGTTTATTTTGCACACGTTAGATTCAGATTTTTACGCGAGTTGTTCATGCTGAAATTTTACCTGGCCAAATTGTTATTAGGAGGGGATTCAAGTCTATATATCAAAACCTTCAATTAAAGTAGCGTCAGAAGAGGGTTTGAATTTTGAGAACATCCACACCGTACAGGCAAGGTCTGTATCCAATCTGGTCCTGTAGCACTGTGGAATCACACAAATTTTTTTTTTTTTTTTTGTTTTTACCATTTAGATCTTGTTTGAATTTCATTCGGTATCTTGATTGGGTTTTGACATCTTGTGTTATTGTTCCAATACCTCTGAAACATAACCATTTTTGTATGGGTTTGCAGTGAATTTAAGTTGGATGATTTTTTTTTTTTTTTTGGGTGGTGTGTGTGAGAACATGTTTTCATTGATTTGAATGTTAGAAGTTTCTTAAAATATTTTCTTTTGTAATTTTTATGTTTTTGTGATATATTGTGTGATGGGCGTATATCGAACCGCTATTAGACCAGTTATACTTTATGGAATTAGAATGAGTTTAGTAGAAATGCGTATGTTAGATGGGTTTGCGGTAAGACTAGAAATGATAGAATTAAAGATGATCACATTCGGGAGATGGTTAGAGTAACAGATAAAATGAGAGAAAATCCGGGTAATACTAGGGCAGAGGTTTAACTAGGGTTATGGGACTTTAGACAGAACGGAATGAAAACATAGGATTCGTGAACCCGACCCTAAGTAGTTGTGAAAAAGGTACGATGTTGTTGTATTTCTATGTTTTTATGTGTGATATTTGATTGGGTCTTGGAGAACCAAAAGTTGCTGCTGTTTATTGACCCAAAACTGGAACCAAGAAGAATGTACACTTACTTAGGGGTGCACATGGTTCCGGTTCTCACGGTTTTGGTCGGAACCGGAATCGGAACCGTTCACGACGGTTCCTTGAAAATGGAACCGGAACCATATAGTATAGAACTGGAATTGGAACCGACATGAGAACCGTTAACCATGAGAGACAGCGGCTGAAGCTTGCGACCGAACTGGAACAGCAGCGATGGAAATTGAAAGATATGGGTTTTGATTTTTTGAACAATCTGAAATGATATGCCGGTGTAATCAGATTTATTACAAAAAGCAATCACACGATTGCTTATTCACAATCTGAACAATCTGAAATGATTTTTTGCAAATTTTTGAACAATCAGATTTATTACAATCTGAAATGATTCCAGAAACAATCTGAATCAGGAGTTTATTTCAGATATGCCAATATAGGTTTTGAACTTTTGATTCTTGCAGACATATCTGAAATATATGGGTTTTGAACTTCTGATTCTTGTAGATTTTGGTGTTTGCAGGGCTAGGCCGTATGCCCATGGGTGCAGGATTCTTCGAAAAAGTTAGAGCTGACTTGGAGAACTGGGACCTTGGCTTAGTAACGAGTGAAGGGAAGTTTAGACCTGGGCCAGGCCGTTTGATCACTGCAGAGAGAGAAAGAGAGAGAGAGAGAGGGAAGTTCAGATCCGAGAACATAGAAAGAGGGCAAGTTCAGAGTTGAGAGAATAGAGATGGAGGCGATAGGTTTAGATGCTTAGATGAGTTTTCACCCATGTGGCTGCTTCTAAGCCTTTAGTCTAGAATAACTAATTAAATTATATATATATATATATATATATATATATATATATATATATATATACGGTTCCGGTTCCTGACGGTTCCCATGGTCTGGAATCGGAACCAGAACCGGAACCGTAACCCACGGTTCCAAAATTTCGGAACCACGGTTCCAGTTTCGGTTCCACGGTTCCGGTTTTTTTGTGCACTCCTACACTTACTGCATCATCGATATGTAAGTAGATCCTAAACTTATATGACAAGGAGTTCAAAATTGTGGCACTAAATTAGATCCTAGAGTTCTATATGGCCAAAAAATTGTCCCTTTATTATATAATCATTTTACTTGAGCACTGCATTCCGATTATTCAAAGATTATTTGACACATGGGTCAGTTGTTACCTCAAATTAGATCAACGAAACAAATAAAAGACACCAATAAATGTAGATGCTAAAGAGACATGTCTACAAGACTACAACAATAAGCATCGACAGCTTCACCTTGGTTAACAATATAGATGACTTAACAATACTTAATAAAGCCTGTCTCAACTATTCGGGGTCGATTAGGTAAATCCTACTTTGTCATTGAAATGTGACTTGGATTTTGGCCTTTTAAACACTGTCTCACGTACTTATATGCTGGTGTACTTGTCATGGAAATAAATGCTTAAATTTGGTGCCCTGTTTTTTTTTGCGTTGGATATGCAATTAGCTGGCTAAAAACACTAAATGTGTGGAAATTATTTTTTGGTTTTCAGGGATCCAAATGTCTTTACATGTTCTGATTGTGTTTTCTTCAGTTTCATGCAAATAACTATTCAGTGGTTGTTGAAATTTAAGATAACACGCGTTGTAATTTTCTCATTTTCTGTGTAATTCTGTCGTTTCTTCAAATCCCAACACAATTTCTTTATATAACCAGTCCTACCGCAATGATGTCACTTTCTGTCATCTTTAGGCTGTGGCCTGCCTCTGGAATCATTACTTCTGCTACCATCGTCAGGTCCCTCTTCACCTCCTTATGTCTTTATATTCTGTGACGAGCTTCGTCTCTATTAACATCCTTTAGCCGTAATTCTTCATTGAAAATGCAATCTTTCACAACGGTCAGAGTCACTTTACCATCTGAAGCAGAATTGTTGAGCGATACCACCAAAGTCTCCCAACTATCAGGCAATCAACTCAGGAGTAACAGTGCCATTGAAAATAAACTTTATTTTAGAATTTTAGTTGTAATTTGTATTTTTAAGTATTTGGTATATATAATGCATGTGTGCATTTCATGTTAGTGGGGTAGCAAATGGTCTTGATGAAGAAGGTTATGTAAGATTAAGAGGTATGGGAATTAGGTCTCCTAAATACTATGTTAGTGGGAGTTTGTATTTGTGTTAGTGGAAGACATGAGAGTTAAGTCTACTAAATACTATGTTAGTGGGATTAGTGGGAGTAATTGGGTATTGAAATGTAATTGGTTACATATGTCTTAGAGCCTATATAAAGTCATGTACTATACCTATTTTATGTGGGGAGAGAAAGCTGAATAAGAAAAAGTTAAGGAGTGAAATAAAATAATTATTTAAGTATTCCTCCATATCATTCGATCTCTTCCAAAATATTATTGAGTATTATGTATATCTAGGCTACTATTTCCAACAAAGTGGTATCAGAGCAAAGTCAGAAAGTGGTATCAAAAAGCCAACAAAGTGGTATCAGAGCAAAGTCAGAAAGTGGTATCAGAGAAAAGCCAACAAAGTGGTATCAGAGCCAAGTCATTATCAGAGCCAGATTTCATGTTCAGAGCCTAAACGATCCTAAAAGCCTAACGAAGTTGAACTTAAAAGGTTCAACATTTTGAGAAAAACATGTTTCTCCTTGATGATGGTGAAGGGGAGAAAATGTATTTTCTTAGTGAGAAGATGATGTTCTCTAATTACAAGAGAATGAGAATCATCACTACTTCATACCTCAAACCATGTGATTTGTGGGATGTTGTTGGATTAGAGCCAAAGAATGGCATGTCCAACAAGTTTTGGGAAAAGAAAGAAGAAAAGACATTGGTAGTGTTGCAGAAAACAATACATCAAGAAATTGGGGAGTATTATGGAGAGTCTAAAACTCCAAATTGTGTTTGGAAGATGCTCGAGACCATCGTTTCCAATTATAGAAGTGAATCACTACCCATAGAGTATTGGGTACAATGCTTTGAGGATGATGAGTTTATGAACGCTGATTATAAAAGTTTAAAGGACAAATTTGTGGAGAATGAAAATGCGTACAACACAAATAAAGTTGAAGAAATTGAAAATTCAAAAGTTGAAGGCCAAAGTGAAATGGTGAATAAGGAAGAGATAAAGAAAGGTGTTGAAGAAGAGATTGAAAAAGTGGAGGAGATTGAAGTGGAAAAAGAAATTAAAGAAAAGAAGGTGCTAAAGAAGAGGCAAAAGTTGATGAAATTAGTGAGTTAATAATTTCAGGTATGGTTCCAAATTCCAATTTCAAAGAAGTTAGATATAACTTATTTGATAAAATTTGATTTCTTCATATTCATCCCAATTGAAAAAAGAAATCAAATATTATAATAATTGTGTTCATGTTGTAGAAAATGATGAACTTTTCTTAAAGAAAGTTATTCCAAAGAAGTATGAGATTGAAGCCCACGATGATAAGAAATTCTCAAATTATTTAAAAAAAAAATAGTTTAGAGAATTTTGTAATTGATACAGGCTAGGTGAATATGGAGTTAATTTTTGACTCTAAAAAAGAAGCATATGTGAAGTTTAAGAGTCATAAAAAATTCAAGAACAAAAAAGATCGAT